GGGAAGCAAGGCCTCTCTTTTATTCATAGCATTATGTGAAAATTCAACTACCAGTCTCGGTATCATCTTAAACGAAAGATTGTGAATAAAGCTCATATATATGAAGATATGAAGACCAAGATGCTGTGGCCTCTGGTATGGTTGCAGTCTCATTTCGATTTATAGAAATGGGTTGACCTCGTTGTCGCAACTTGGTTTTGTTGTCAGGGCGACTTAGTATAGGCACCTTATCCGAAGTCGTCTGCCATAGTAGTTGTCATGATACCCAGTATCAGACGGTAGACTTGGTACATTATTAAACCTTTCGCCGGCATCGTAGTCGGCATCATCAGTGAGTTTTGCCATTCTCCGCACCAAGCTACGAACTCGTCAGAGCAGGAAAGTGAAGCCAATCCCTCGACAAACGTTCTGCTGAAAAACGGTTACACTATCACTTCTCTTTCTGTCCTGGCCTATCTATCTTCTCCTTACCCTATGAAGTCAATCTCTCGACAACCGTTCTGCCGAAAACGGTTACACTATCACTCCTCTTTCTGTCACTGTCTATCTGTGAGAATTCAATCCCTCGACAAACGTTCTGCCAAGGGATTGACTTCACTTGTCTTTATGACGAGTTCGTAGCTTGGTGCGGCGAATGGCAAAACTCACTGATGATGCCGACTACGATGCCGGCGAAACGAGTTCGTAGCTTGGTGCGGCGAATGGCAAAACTCACTGATGATGCCGACTACGATGCCGGCGAAACGTGCGTTCGTAGCTTGGTGCGGAGAATGGCAAAACTCACTGATGATGCCGACTACGATGCCGGCGAAACGTTTGGGAATGTATTAAGTCCACTGTCTGATGCTGGGAATCATGACAACTACTATGACAGATGACTTTGGACTAGGTATGTTATACTAAGTCCCCCTGACAATAAGACCAAGTTGCTACAACCAGGTCGACCCACTTCTCATATATATTATCTACTGGTAGTCTCTAAGGCCTCCCTATACACGAAAAGTAGTAAACAATTGTCAAGAACTTATGCGTAACGCCTACCTGCAATTGGACTCAGTTAAGAA